TGCTTCGTCTACACTGGGTTTAAATCTTCAGTCGATGACAACCAAAAGACGAGCCTCTGGAGCTCTGTCCGACGTGTCTTCTCGCGGTATGCACTGTAGAAGAAGGGAGAACATAGCTGTCATGCCCTCAGTGCTACCGCCATAAGACAGAAGGGCGATTTATGTTGGTGACTCCGTTGCCTTCGGCTTTGAGCAGGGCAGCAGCACAGATGCGCAGATAAGGCTTCTGCTAGTTCTAATTGTGGTGACGACGGCCTTCTTGGAGTTGTTTCTGAATGGCGACCCCAGCAGATGTCTAGGGGTGCTGTGGTACATGACTTCAGCAGCGCATAACGACGTTGTGGTGAAGGTCAACATCAGCACCTCTTCAAGTATCTGTAACACGTTGTGATTTTGGTGGAGTGTTTTGCTGGCTCACGTGATGATCGCAATTCACGGCATGTCCGCACAGTTGGATGAATGAGACAAAACGATGTGGCATCGTGCGATATTTGTCGATGGACCTTGGTGAAGATGATGACGGTCATGATGACCACGAGGATGCAATAAACAGATGGTGGTCGTGTTGTTGGCTGCTGCTGCCGTTGATGATGATCTTGATTGCCAGGCAAGATCAGCAGAAAGGCGCAGTAACAGTTGCAAGGCCTTTCTTTTGATTGCGGCCTCTGGGTATGTTGTTGAAGCTTCAAGGCTGAGGGTGTTGGGCTGAGGCCTTTGAAGTTGAACTTGCTGAGGATGATGATGTTGTGTTCTTAAGAAGAAGATACATCTACGCACATTCCACACTGTTTTTGACGTTCACGGTCGTAGTGTACTGTAGGTGATGAAGAGGAGATGATCGTCGTGAGGAATAGGACGAGCATAAAGCTGATGATGAAAATGGACACACTTACGTTTTTGCTGCAGCGAAAAACATAACATATTACTGCATGATACAAGTCGTAGTTGGCTGTTCCGACGATGATTCCAGTACTGTTAGCTTGCAGTCCTTTGCATGTAACGAAGACTGGCGGTCTCATATGGTCTCATGCTCTACGCCAGCATCAAGTGTTAGAAAGAGTCAAGTATCGCATCCCTTTCCACAGCTTTCGCTTGCCGACATCCGTTCACCAGGTGCTACAGCACGTTCCTCAAAGCTCAGGACCACCATGATCCACAGATATGATCCAACTCCGATATGCATCACGATTTTCCCACTTGGTACGAAGATACTGCCTTCTCCGCCGCAGGAAGAATCGCCAACATTGGTCCTTGCTCATGCGCGGATCGGCGATGAAGGTGGATGCTTTCTTGCCAGTTTTTCGTGGTGGTGAGATCCTAATGGCTTTTGAAGCACTTTGTCCCTTTACCGCCAACCAAGCGTGTCGCTTTAACAATGCAGCTCCACAGGGATGCACCGGCACGTTGTCATTCCTCCTCGTGCCACAGGCTCTTAGTCTGTGCAGTTGGCAGCCAGACAGGTGCACGCGAAATTGCGGAGTTCGCCAGCAAGAGTGGCTTGGCTAGTTTCAAAGAACGTCTGCCTCCTTTTCCACGATCGCTTGACACTCCAGGCGTGCACTTGCGCCTGTTGGATCTCACAGGTTGTGGCATCACGACCGGGCCCCTGTTCCACGGGAAGCTCAAGCCTCTGGCATGCTAGAAATAACTGACAGGTCGACTGGAATGCTCCAGATCGCAGAAGCACTGCAGCCGGAAGCCTGCGTTTTTTCACGATGAATTGTTTGCTTTGCGAAGTCCGAGGTGCAGCCTGACTTTGGAAAGCCTGGTTCTCCGGCACAACGACATCACTTCAGGGCCTGCCGGTGAGGAGCTGGCGGCTGGCGCAATGCTGTGCTGCTACATTCAAAAGTTGTTGTGATACCTGGGTTGTTGAGCTCTCCGAGAGACCAGGAGGCTTTGGCGTCATTCTGCCAAGCTGCGCAAAATAGCCCCTCCTTGAGGCACGGTAGAGTTCGTCCAGCCCGCTCCGTCCACGTCCAATCGACGGGAGGCACCTGGATCTGCGCTACACCGGGCTATGTGGCGAGGCTGTCGCTCTCCAAATCGCCTCGATTCTCGAGGCCGCGAACCCGTGTCACAGTGCCAGGGTGCGGTGCAGTGCAGGGGTTCTCTCCTCAGCCGATCTCAGGGCAACGGGGCCTTATCACATCTGGAGCTTTCTTGGAACCCACTGGGAGCTTCTGCTGGTCAGGCGAGGGGAAGGCGCGGCTGCTCTCGGTCTCTCCATGCACTTCTGCTGTCCAGGTCCTTCTGAAAAGCATTCGCTCCACTTCGGGGCTTTTCGATTGCCAACTCAGTGGCTGCAGGCATAGCTTTCTCCTCCTAGCCTCCGAATCTCCTGCTCTAGACTCCAGCCTGCCTCAGGCTAGCTGATGAGACCATGCAGGAGATAGCGGAGCTGATGCTTCGGAACAGAAGGGCCCGTCCCGCACCAGATGTGTCCCCAGCGTGCAATGTCCATTTTGTTCAAATGTTGTCACTGTGACTGTGTGGTTGATGGCAGGCGCACGGACAAAACACATCTGTGGGTCCGTACAAGGCTCATATTGACGCTCTGTGCAGAGCTCTTAACATGAATGCGTCCACGTTTGATGCCTCTTAATCTGGACAGAAGTGACGATTTATGGGCATCAGCAAGATGTTTCTCGCAGCACTGCTGGCTGCAGGGGTCATGGATTCGGAACGATGCTGCGCTGGAGGGGTTCGCTGATGGCAAGGAGCGAGTGCTGACCTCGGTGTTTGCAGAGTTCCAAAATGTTGTGCAGGTAGCTTTTCATAAGCGGTATCTTCAATGTCGCATGTCATCGAGTAACAGAGGGTCCCAGCTCGATGTGGCGGCCATACACATGGTGCACCAATCAGGTTGTGAGGATTGGGTCACAGGTTGGGCCGCGATTGGAAGAACCGCTGTAAACGGTGGGCGCGCGCGGAAGACCTCCAGGCAAAGGTGTGTGGAAGGTCGCATCGGCCGTGAAAGTTGAAGGTCGCAGCAGCGCGGGCAGGAAGGTCTCCCAATGCTGAGGTAAGCTGGGGAGAAATTGATCGTGGTTTTTTATCAAAAAGCCCTGAAGACTTAGATCAATGGTTGTTTTAATTGTCAGCTCAGCAGATGCATGATATGTTTGTGCTGCGATTGCGAAGAGAGAGAGGGTCCTGCGATAAGGCCATGCCACCGGGTTCGCGAAGCCAGGGACAGGCAAGGTCGGTTGCGACAAAATCTCTCTGTCGTGTTCCTTGTTCCTGCTGCATTTAAACGAAGTTGTCGGGCAACTTCTCCATCAAGTTGCCTTCGGCGGTTGTGCCCGCTCCGCCCAGTCTCTGCTATAATATAGAGACCAGGCTGTAGACTCCAGACACATCCCGCCACTCAAGTCATTTTTTGCGGAGGCTGTGGTTTGCCGCGCATAGCATGCACACCCTCTTTTCTTATTCGGTGAGTACCGGTAAGCATTTATGGTTCATGCTGTTGCCGGCTTCTTTTAAGATTCCTACTACTGGCAAGTCCTATGCAGCGGATGTTCCATTCCTTCATGCCCTTTACAATGGTTGACATGGACACCCACTACGAGAAACTGTTGCAAAATTACGGTTGCTACTCCTTCCTGTGAACGGAATGCTCTGTCTAGAAGGTTTAGTGTTCTTGGCCGCGGCAAGTTTCGAGTTCTCTTCACAGCGTCAGCGGAAGCATTGTAATTCTCGCCGGCAGAATTATGCTGGAGCTTTGCCGCTGAGGCCATGTCTCTTTCTTAAAAGGCCAGCAGACTGTGACCCAACTTGAAAAGCCACTAAGTCGTGACTTCGTGTCGAGCTAGATCATGCTCTGCTCTGACAGTCCACCAAGCTGTTCGTACCGTAGCAGCGTGTTGTGGTGCTTTTGTTGCTTGGCCTGCGCGTGCCCAGCCTCTGGGAAAGATCCCCTCGCGCTTGGCCATGCAGGAGAGCTCTCTCTCGAAGGGCGGGAAAGTTGCCTGCACAGTGCGACTTCCGAACAGTGTTTTCGATGTTTCAAGCTTGAAAACTACGGGCCGGCCTTGCCAAAGGTTGACCCGGAAGGAGTGGCCAAAAACGTGCTTTGATATAACTAGCAATTGAACAGTTTCTGAACCAGTCTGTATTTCAGAACTACGACCAACGCACGATTTTCTTCGCAACAGTCTAAAATCATCGGTGTCAACGATGGAGAGCCAATTTGGCCGGAGGCAGGTTAGTTTTCTCTTGCAGCGGGAGCAAGAGCCGACACGAATGCTTGAGCTAAGCCCACTGCCTGTGAAGAGGTGTGAACTTTGGACGGGCACGAGGGTCTTGCGAGCTTCTGACAGGCAGCTGCCGCGCACTACCCGTTGCGATTTGCAGTGTCTTGGTCGGCTTTCGGAGCTGTCGAAACACGTTGCTCCGGGGCACTGCATTGCGGTGGAACGTATGGACTAATGGAGCAAGGTTGCCAACATCCCTGGCAACACTGCCGAACGGCTCAGTCGCTGCAGAAATTCCATGCCTTCGTGCCCCCTTTGCAGCCTCACGAGAGGTTGTCTCCGATGCCAAGACGGACGAGCTGGTTGAAAGGTAAGAAGCCCTACGTTTCCGGTCCTTATCTTATTTCCTGGATTCCTTCGAGGCTTTTCGACTGGCGGGAGAAGTTCCTTCTCGAGCCGCTTCGCTTCAGATTTGCCTGTTGGTCTTGTCTCTCAGGTTTTTGTCCTACGGCTGGGCATACTGAGCTTGTGTTTGAAGATTGCAGCCTTGTTCAACTGTTCAACAGCACCACAACAGTACAAACCAGAAGCCCTTCCAAGGTCAGCAGGGAATGACAAGGCCGCACGTGTGCACGAGTTCCTTCAGTGCCCCTCCCCAACATCATCACTTGTGACTATAGTTGAAATAGATGTGCAGCGTGAGCATCGTGTGTGCTCGACCCTTTGACCCACTGAATTAGATTGTCGCAGCGTTTCTGTTCTCTTCCAGCTGCTGCGACTTAGTGTTTCAGTCCAGTTTCAAGCATGGTTGCAGCGGTGGCCGTGCCACCGCTAGACTTGGGTGGCATGAATGTCACACCTGCGCTTGCGCCGATTGAAACGCTCGGTGGCGAGGTGACTTACAAGCTGGGAGGCCGGTAAGCAGACAGACCTACACACAAGTCCCATTTCGTCAAAAATTGGGGGCCGCGAAACGAGAAAACAGGCAGTTGACCCGGCACAATCATCTTTTACAGGCATGTTTTGGCCGGCACGCTGCTTTGCGCGCCTCCATGGGGACCTTCTGCTCATCCAGCGGAAGGGCAAGCAACAGGCTTCGGAGGGGATCGGTCTTGAGGCATCCACAGAAACTCTCTTCCTGGCAGGCAGCAGTGGTGCTGCATGCTGCGACTGTGGAGTTCAGAGCACCGACGACGGTGCGAATCGAGGCTCGTACAGTACTGCAGTGCAGCAGCGCCCATCTCAGCCGTGTCTGGCCAGGCCCCGGGTAGTCCTTTACTTGCCATCCAGCTCGACACTGCTGAAGAAGCCGAGCGCCGGGTTCCCAGATTCTCGACAAGTCTATGGCTTCTCGTGGATGTTGCAAGGCTGGGCATTGGCTCTGAAGCAGGCTGCGTGAGAGCCTTACCTTGGACGTGCTGGACTCGCATGGGAAAGTAAAGCTGCAAAGCATTGCTCGGCTCAATCCGACTCAGGAAGCGTTCAAAGGGGCTCAAGGATCTCCTCAGCTTTGACCTTAGAAACGATGTGCTGCGCTGTCACATCCCTTCACGAGGACTCTTGCACTCGGTTGCTTCAGGCTCGGACGTTGTTCCATTGATGCTGAGTCCACGGAGTGAGCAAGAGGAGCGTGCAGAATGGGCAAAGGTATGCCTGTGACATTCAAGAGTCTCTGTTTTGTGTGTTTTGTGTGTTGTGTGTCATGTCCAGGAGCAAGAAGCGGAGGACGGCTCTGCTACTGTAGGTACTTGTAGCCATGTTGTCTAGCTTTCGGTCGTTGGTCGTCCTGTGCCACAACGTACGTTTCGGCTGCTCCGTGCAGGAGCGCCTTCACAGTCTGCGTGTGCGCATATCCGAGATCGAGGCCGAGAAAGACAGCACAGTCAAGGCGGGGCATTGCTTTCGTCCTGAAGTAAGTTGTCGAATGGTCGAATGTGGCGGCGGACATTCTCTCAGAATAATTATTCTGCTTGGGCAGTGCAGTTTTTTCATCTTCGAGACAAAACGGATGGGTTACGATGGGTCAGCAGGGCCGGTCGGATGTTTCTCAAGTAAGTTCTCAGAATGACTTAGATTCTCGCCCGACTTGCTTTCCGGGCGCTCACGACATTTGTGGAAAGAGGCATCTGGGATTACTGAGTTTTTGCTTTTCTTCAAATTTTTTGCGTTTATGACCTGTTTCCTAACACTGTCAGCATGCTTCAGAAGCCACGCCTCCGCTGTGCATGCTGTCCATTTGTTCATGGATTGTTTCCGAGACTTCTGTAGCGTGGTCTCCCAGTCTGCAGCGTCTATAGCTGGACGGAAGGAAGTCAAGCAAGAGTTGGAAGCGCAACTGGTTGAGGCGGAGGCGCGAAGCACTGCTCACAGGTGTGTCGAAGTTCGACCCGTTGATCGGCTGAGGCTGCAGTCAAAGAAGCCCTCAAAGAAGCGGACAATGCGGCCAGCTGCGCAGCTTGCGACTTGATGCTCCTTCCCTTTCCTGTGTGCCTGCCTCAGGTTTGTGCGCGTCGCGAGGCAGAACAGCGGGCCCAGCTTGCAGAACAGGCCAGTGCAGAAGACGTCTCAAGCGCTTGGCAACCAACGGCCTTGCGATTGCAGGCGACGAAAGCTGCGGAGGCCGAGCACCAGCGCCTCGCCATTGCAGAGCAGCAGTAAAGAAAGAGCACGCAGAGAGCAGAGAGCGGAGAGCGGAGTTGGATTTAGACGCGGGGCTCCCCAAGGCGACAGTGCAAAGAACTGGAAGCAGCGAAGGCCAGGAGACGGCCGAACTCGTCGACCGAAGTCTTTGGAACGCTTCCCAAGGCTCCCCCAAGGCTTCCCTCCTATTTCGTTTCTCTCCAGGATCAGCTTTCAGAGGAGCTGCGGGAAATGAGGCAGAAGCCCGCCTCTAAGAGTTTTACAGATTCCGGGCAGCAGATCTTCTGAGCTCATGTTTGCTGCTGCCAAGGCTCGATCTGGAGATTGCATCTCGTAAAGAGGTGGAATCGAAGCTAGAGCTGCGTGACGAGGATACTTCACTTGCATTTTCTTGCATATGACATTCTGTTCTGTCCTTGTCGGGTACTCCTTCCGACAGGCAGCTTTGCACACTGTCCAGGGTAGGTGGCAGAATTGAGTCCTGATGCTTCTACGCTGTTCGTGGCCTTCCTTCATGCGAACACGAAGCTGTGTTCTCGGGTCAATGTTCGCCCACTATGCGACTGTTCGAAGTTCTTATGTGTACGTTCAAGGAGCTTGCAACAGCAAAGATCCGAGCTCAGCCAATGCTACGACTTGAAAGATGCGGCTTGTCAAACGAAGCATCTTGCCGAGGTCCGACTTGGAATCCTTGACCAACGCCCATGAGGCAGTTCAGTGAAGCTGTCAGATGAGTCGCCTGCAAGTTCTGTTCTGTTCTGTGAGGCGCAGATCAAGGTTGGCCAGGAACATGCCAATAAACTGGACGAGCAACGGCGGAGCCTCGAAAATCTCGAGGCGGAGAAGCAGAGCTTGATTCATCAGCCACGAGCCTACATCTTCATTTTCACCGAGAAGCAGCGATTTTGTTCGGCGGACTTTCAGGTCCGAAAGCGTCGCGCAACTCAACTCGGAGCTTCAGGAGCCGCTCAGAGACTCTGGAGTGCCACCGTCGCTGGGTGCAGTCTGGGTTGCAGGCCAAGCTCTCTGAGGAAGAGACTTCTCGGAAGGCCTCGGCCTTCCGCCTTCCATTTCCCGTTTAATACTCTTTCACGGGCGGTGGCAGGATGAGAATGCGGCCAGCATGGAACGGTGCCGAAGTCTTGAGCAGAAAGTCGCTTCATTGGAGGTTCCAGTTCCTGCTGCATGTTTAAGTGAAGACATCGACATCAGAGGGTCCACCCTGGAGGCCGAGCTGGAGCAGTCTACCTCGTCTGCAGAGGCCGCTCTAGCGTAGCCTCCGCAGTGTGCTTATGTCTGCACCCCACTCCTCCATTTCTGCATAGCTGTCTCTCTGTCTGTCGCCCTGGCTCTCTCTTCATTTCCTACCTGCCCATCACTCAATCTGTCAAGTCAGTTTCCTTTTCTCCTTTGACTCTCTCTATATGTTTCTGCTTGTCTGCCTTTGGATCTACTTGGCTCTCTCGTCATGTATCTGTCGTGGTATCCCTGTGGCTCTCAACATCCTTTCGTGATCCGGTGAAGACTCGAAGTTTTGAGGCTTTTGCACGATAAGACGCACCTCCTGGCGAGTTCGGATGATGATCAAGGGCTTTCTGCCAGGGGTTGTGTGACATGTATGTGTGTGTGTGTGTGTGTGTGTGTGTGTGTGTGTGAGTGTATGTAGCTTGGCTTGGTATGGCTTGGACTTGCTTTGTGCGAAGTTCGGGAGGTTTTGGGACTTGGGGCACGGGTGTGTGCGGGGTGTGCGCGCGGGTGTGGCTTCTGCTTTGGACGGGCAGGAGCGATTGCAGAGTGGTTGGGGGTGGGTTTGGGGAAAGCTTAGGGTCTGGGGCTGGTATATAAAGCCCAGGTTAGGGTTTCGGGGTGATCGACGAGCTTTGGTTTTTTACGCCAGCATCGAACATGAAGCTCGGAACATGCTATAAGAAAGGGAATGTCGCCTCAAGTCATGCCTGCATTCAGCAAGTCTAGTCCTGGCTTCCAAAGCTATGGATGTGGCAGGTGTCATGTGGTTATCTGGGGAAGCGTCGCCCTTGTTATGCGAACGTTATTGCAAAAAAAAGGTTCGCAGAAATAAGACGATCAGTTGTTTTTCCGTGCCCGTAAGTTAGTCGTTCTGGTATTTTGGTTCCGTTGTAGAGGGAAGTCTTCAGGATCTCCGGTCGCAGGTTTGTGGATCTTGGTCATTTGTCCACCTGGGCATCATCGCTTCTTGAACTGTTTTTTGTAATTCTTGGATGGATCTTGTGGGTCGTGCTGCGTGTAAGAGTGCACGTTCAGACTTGCTTGTGTGCCTGCGCACGCTCGTGTGTGTGTGTGTGTCTCTTTCTCGGGGGTGGGTGAGCGTGTGAGAAAGAGACTCTGTTGAACATTGTGTGCTGCAGGCTTGTGCAAAAGAGCGCACGAAACTCGAAGCTTCCTGTAAGGAGGCTGAGGCAGTACCATTGTCTTGCATGCATGTCAAAGAATGAGATCCCGGATGTCCGACTGGCTTCAGGCGAGTGTAACTCAGCATCAGCAAGAAATTTCCCTACTCCAGCGTCGAATCGCTGCAGCTGACACGTGAGAACCTTGATAGATCACAAGGTGCCGATTAAACTTGGACACGGTCGCCATGTCCTGCCCGAGGCGATTTGCAGCAGAAGTTGCTTGCCGAAAGGCTGCTGAAGAAAGAAGTGTTGGTGCAGAGCGACGTCTCTTCCTCTGACCTGATTGTGGCATCTGATAGTCGCATCATGCATGACAGATTACAGCCGGTTTTCCGCAGTGCATACTTCTGCTAGGTCTCGCAGAAACAGAGGAGCTGTTGGAGAAGGCGCTGTGATGGCCTCGTCGATGGAAAGCACAGCTGCTTGTTGTTACTCTCTACGCGCCAGCACCTAAGAGCTTCCAATAAGGGCCGAGCGGATAGCCGCTCAGCGACGATTGATTGAGCGTGACGGCGGCCGAAAGCCGCTCTGCCCTGAGCATGTCGCCAAGACGTGCCTACCTTGTGGACAACATTGTTTCCTCGAACACGCAAGGTCTGATATTGACATAGAGGTCAAGCAGGCCTGACAACGTAACGCTGGTCAATGGGTTCAACTGATTGAAGACCCAGCTGCAAGGACCAGTGAACTGGCACCAAGAACGGATGATGATGATGATGATGATGGGACGAGTTTTAAGCGGGTGTTTGAAGCAGCACGGGTCGCCGGTGCAGCAGAAAGTGACGATTTGAACGATTTTAGGCTACGGTGTCGGCCAGCGCATTGGATCTAGCTTGAGCAGGCTTCCGAGTTTCTGTTGCAAAATATTTTCCGGCGGTTGGTGTGGGGACTGCAGGCAGTGCTGGTTAATCCAGTGTTACAGTCGGGCAGTTCGGGATGAGTTTAAACGAAAGTACAAGAGAGGTTCTGCGACTGCGAATAAGTATCTCTATTAAAAGACAAACTCCACGTAATGGAATACCGACGGACAGCGCAGAACCTTGTTAACTTAGCCAAAGGCTTTGACCAGCAACAGACGGTGGGTGACACGTGCAATCGCGAGAACAAAAGCGTCGCAACCTTGCTTGAGCAGTCTCTTGTCGATTTCGATAGTGCGATAATGTGCTGTGGGTAGGCAGCCATCATGTTTCTGAGCGTATGCAAAGCCAGGTACTTGAACCATGGACAGAAGGAGGCGAAACAGAATCTCCAGGTCCAGGGCCGTGCAATGCCCTGCACCTCCAAGTTTCCTGTGGTTTTGCGGTGCAGATCTATGACTTGATTTTGCTTCTGCTCGGCATCCAGCGCTGATGTTGCAGTGGCATATGATCAAGCGCAGCGGCGAAGCGGTCGATTCATGGCCCAAGTATAGGCCCAAGTCAAGCCTTTTTAAGCCTGACCCACAGCCTCAAACAGCTGCAACCTGGAAGCCTAGTCAACCGGAACCCGTAGCAGTTTACGTGCCATGATGTCATGGCGGAATCTTGCAGCCCTCGCTGGGGGCAGGCAGCCTGTGGGGCAGACGTGGAACCTGCTTGACAGAGTATGAGCATAGCTTTTGCTACAGCCAGGCGGAGCCCAGCCGAGCCTTGCAAGTTCTCCACGTGTGGTTGGCATGTCTCATCACCTTGCCGGTTGCAGGCCAAAGTGCAGTGATAAAAGATTGTAAAAAATTGGTCACAAGATAGATTGGGATCGGGGAATATTGGGGGGGGTCTCGGCATGCACGGACCATTCCCCTTCGATAGCGGCGTTGCTTACTTCTCAGCATCGGCTGCCGAACTTGTCCTCAAAGGTGACAAGGCAGTTGCGGCAGCGGCATCGGTTGACTCCAGGGCGGAGGCGAGATTTCATTCGCCCGCGGCACTATACAAGTAGGTGTGTTTGAGGTTTTCTGTCTTCTTATCGTTTCAGTTGAACTATATGATCCTTGTGTCAGGCATGGGGGCGCATGATCGCTGCTTCCTTGGTCTGGCATCGTGCACATGTGTGCTTCGAAAATTCTTCGCACGTTCCACGCGGCCGACTTTTCCAGGCCGTCGGAGCGGCGGACGGCTTTGCCCCCGCTGCAGAGCTGCAGGCCTCGCACGGCCTCGCACTGCCTCGCACTGCTGTCGTGCGGAGCCGCCTGGCTTTGGAGGCGAAGAACGCTGAGTGTCTGATGACAGGCACGGCCGGAGTCATGGTTCCTTCAAGGTTTCTTTTTGCGCCATTCTTCTCAGAAGCTCCCTTCGTCTGGACATGCTGCATGTGTCGCAGACTCTTGCAGCCTTGAATGCTCGGTCTTGTGCAGACCTCCTGAGACAGCCAGAGCTCGAAAAAACCCACCCTGCGAATGGAGCCCTTGGAGTGGCCTGTGAACGGCCCAAGCCGCGAACACTAAATCTTCAGGAGCTTACAGGAGCCAAGTGAGAAAGAAAGGACTAACAAGACATTCTAGGGTCTTTAGGTCTGATAAAGCCTGTCCCTTCACGGCCTTCAGGCACAGCCCCGTCCGCCCCCGCCAAAGCCCTGGCTTGAGTTGTAGCATCCCCCCCCGCCTTTAGGATCCTTTGGGCTCCCTTCAAAACCAGAAATTCTGTTGCTGCTCCTTCCTCCTACTCCTACTCCTCCTGCTGCTCCTGCTCCTACTCGTATGAATCCACTTACTGCTAATCCCACTGCTACTCCAACTCCTACTCTTACTACTTTTATTACTTTTAGGTGCCATATACTTCGTTTGCCGCACAGCAGGCGCGGCAAACATGTCGTCAGGGATGTGATTCATTTGACATATAGTGTGTTGATGTGAAAAACACGTTTTCGCGCACTTTTTAACCACATTTTGGAGGCTTGTCTGAGACTCTCTCATCTTCATGTGGACACTGCTTGGTTTCGGCTTCGATTGTTTGTGAGTTTTTTTGCTCAGAACTCGGCAGAAAACATTGATGTTTTTGCGGTTCGGTTTCCAGGCAACTGCAGCTTGTCAGCAACAAAACGGCAGCAACAGCAACCGGACTCTGGCAATGGATTGGTTCGGGCTTGAAAACGGATGGGGTCTGAGTGGACATTACTACGGTTCGGGCACGGATGCTCTGTTGGATGGGGTCTGAATGGACGTTACTACGGTTCGGGCACGGATGCTGCGCCGGAACGGATGGGGTCTGAGTGGACGCTAACTGCGGTTCGGGCATGGATGCTCTGCGGGAACGGATGGGGTCTGAGTGGACGTTACTACGGTTCGGGCATGGATGCTCTGCAGGAACGGATGGGGCCGGACTGGGCCAAAAACAGACGAGAACGCCCTCCATCTGCAAAAGCAGTAACGTAGCGTAGTGGCCAAAATAAACCTACACTTGCAGTCAGTGTACATGCCGTGAGGACGTCATCATCCCCTCTCCCACACTCCAGAGTGCTGCAAACGAGGGTGATGGAGCCTACTCTTACTACGTTTACTACTTTTACTACTTCTAATGCATGACCTATGTTTACTACCGGTACTACTTTTACTCCTTGTACTACTTTCACTACCTTTACGACTTTTCTAAGTAATTATTACTAATTTTCCTGCTGTTATTGCTTTTTGTATACTATTACTACTACTTACTACTACTACTACTACTACTACGACTACTACTGCTACTACTATTGTTACTATTACTATTGCTATTACTACTACTACTACTACTACTACTACTACTACTACTACTACTACTACTACTACTACTACTACTATTACGAGCCACCCCCCCCTCCCAACTACACTTGTTCCATCCGGGCTGGGCAGCGGTAGCTGCTAGGCGCCTTAACTGCGACAGTTGCAGAAGATGCGCAGGCTCAGGCTCCCTGTCTGTGACAGCTGCAGAAGTTGCAGAGGCTCAGTTTCCTTAACTGTCACAACCGGTGAAGTTGCAGGGGCTCAGGCCCCAAAACTGCGACAGCAGCTGGAGATGCAAGCTCGACGGGGCAGAAACTGCTAAACCGCAGGTGGTCGGATAGTACGAAAACGCTGTAAATACCGCGCAAAACCCCGGTGCTGCCAAGAAGCGTTTAACATTTCTAAAACCTGAAGTGCAACATCTTCTAAACGTCAAAAACAAAGATGCCAGCTGCACGTGGGAGGGGCTCGCCAACACCCCTACCGCCCAACCTCGGCGTAGGAGGGTCTGGTTTTGAAGTGGTGTGTGTGGTGTGTGCGCGCTTGAGTGTGCAAATATTGTTCGGGGTGTCCGCAAAACAGTGTCGTCCCGAAGAAGCTTTCCCTCACCCAATTTCGAGTTTTTTTTGCAAACAGTTCGAAACAACAAAGTTTAATATACATAGTCGAGAAGTAGGGGCTCAGAATATGTAACAAAGTCTGACATCACGAAAGTACGGTAAATACCGAGTTAATCGGCTCTTGTGGTGATACTTCTGGGTGTGTTCGAGTAACACTGTCGTCATCATCCCCCCCCACCCCCCCAAGAAGCAAGTCCAAAATCAAGAGCCAGAGTTTGCAAACTCGACAAGTCGATTTTTAGGCTTCTTGGGATGATCGCACATGACGAAAGTGCCGTAAATATTGAGTAAAATGGATGTTGTCTTAACATGGTTAAGAACAAGTGTAGTTGGTAGGGGGGTGCCTACTACTACTACTACTACTACTACTACTACTACTCCTGCTGCTGCTGCTGCTACTGCTACTACTACTACTACTACTACTACTACTATAACTTCTTTTTCTAGCACTGGCACTAGCCCTAGCGCTAGCACTAGCACCAGCACTTGCACCAGCACTTGCACTAGCACTTGCACCACTAGCACTAGCACTTACACTAGCACTAGCACTAGCACCAGCCCCAGCGCTAGCACTAGCACTAGCACTGGCACTAGCACCAGCACCAGCATCAGCACTAGCACTACCACTACCACCACTACTGCCACTGCCACTGCCACTACCACAACCACAAACACAAACACCAGCACCGGCACTCGCACTTGCACTCAGCACTAGCACCACCACTAGCAATGGCACAAAAGCAGCACTAAGCGCCCGGAGGCCCAGGAAAGACATCTCAGCAAGAGCGCCTTTGTGTGCACCGGCGACGGTAGCCACGCTCACCATAGCCCCGGCCTTAAGTGATAGGTTCATGCAGGCGCTGGGAGAGCGCAGCTGGACCAGACACTGCCTGGAAAAACGGCCGACGAACTACGAGCCAGTTCGGAACGCAATAGCTCGTGTTTGTCACACCGTGCTCCTGCTTCGAAAGAACTTACTCCATGTTACTCCTTATTACAGCATGTATTGAATGTATTGCTTCCCTTTACATCATGCAATTCTTTTGTCGCTTTCTTGTTGCATCAGATGCCAAATTCAAAATCGTGATTTCACTTTGCCCCCACATACCGGAACAGCTTGAGTGAACCCAAGCAGCTGCATGCATGCGATACAGAGATGAACGCTTCGTGGTAGCGTACATGACAAAGTCGGTCTCGCTCCAATTTGCCATGTTCCTCGAACACGCGAACTCGATGGCCCCAAAGCTTTCGCTGGACTTGGCGAAGTCACAGAAGAACCACGGAGTGTAGAGGGAAGAGTCAACAAGCATGTCGTGGGCAGGTCAGGGCCAGGGTGGGGCCGCTGTTCTGTACAACGCATCGGGTCACTTCGTCACAATGTTGAGCTCCCAGCTTGCTTGCGAGCAGAGGTTCATTCAGTTCAAGCTGCAACCGAGTGTGTTAGATTCATCATGCCAGTCTCGCCGGCCTCCATGCCGCAAGTGCTGATCTTGTGCATTCGGCTTAGGCTGCAAGATGCCTTCCAGCCACAGGCCTGGACAGCGAATCATCCTGCTAGTGGTGCAGATCATGTTGCAGCACGCAGGTTGCTGGCCGTGCAGTGCCAGGCCCTTGTTATCAGGTGCCGCGTTCGGCTGTCTGCGGTCGTGAAGCAGCAAATGAGAAACTCTTAGGCACTTCCAGGGCCCTGCTGATTTCAAGTCGAACGGTTGGTCAAGGGTTGCATCGAGGTTACCCCGGACCCGAGCCCCAAACATCCAGCTTGTCTCTTGGGGTGCAAGCCACCTCGCCCACCTGGCGTCCCTTTTGGTTGTGTTACGGCATGTCCGAGGTCTCTTGGCTCCCGACAAGTGGCCAGTCTGGCCGCTCGGTTGCATTCCAGAACAGCATAGTATGCCGGGAAGCAGTTAACAGATAGACAAGTTGACTGTCCGGTCAAGTCCGTCGTTTCAAGCGTGTAGAGCTGGCTTTGGTCGCAGGCGGGCAGCTTGCAGGCATTGATCGAGCTGGAGGCAACTGCTTTGCAGATCGAGGTATTATAGGATTTCAAGCTTTCGCAGGTTCAATCAGGCTCGAACGTTCTCGTAGACTTATCGGAATCTTCGGATGTGCCTTGCGCTGGCTGTTCAACTCTTTGAAGTCGAAATCCTCCCAGACTGGAAGCTGAAAGCTACCCCGAGCCTGCTTTTCTTCTGATGACTGATGTGTGCTCGTCTTGCATGGTTAGCTTTTGCGTTGTGACAATGGTGTGAGCAAGAAATGCGCCCGCACAGGTCCAGGCTCCTGTCTATTTGCAAGACTCAAGAGACGTACGCACTTTCCTGGCGAATATGACGACACGAGCTCTTCCAAGTTTCGTTTAAGCTGAGCCCGAATCCACAATCCCATGAAGCCGGTTGCTACTCACGAGCCGGTACCCTCCTTGGCACTCTGCCACGCAAAAGAAACGTGCTTGGACTTGGCGTACCCAAATTGAAGTCATGAAGACTCGTTCGCAAGCTCCCTTTGATAGCATGGGCAGGGGCACATTGCATCAGCATGCTTCTCGCGCGAACTTTTGTTGGACCTGCGGCCAAGCTCCTAGAATGGCCGTTGCTCCGACATGGAAAGGTTTCGCAGCATGTGATGGCTTTTCCATGTCTGGAGACGCGCTGACCCGCACTGAGGAAAGCGAGCGATGCACTGTTGCTGTTGCTGGGCCCTCAGCTCCAAGCGTCGAGCTGACGCAGAGCTGACGCGCATCACAGCAAGGCGAGCACAAAATGGCCGTTTGATGCTGCAACGCACGGACGTTCACGATGACTTGGCTGGATCCCTGCACTGCCATCCTTTATGTTGGCCGCGTATCTGTGTCCTTTCCACAAGGTAACTGCCTCTAAGGATTTCGCCCACGAGGCCGGCAGTTTGGCAGGCATGGAAAACCTGTTGAGAACTGAGATGCAACCTCGCAGGAATATGCTTCGTTTGGTCGAGATCTGGGGGGTCTTTGGCGACGGGCCCCTCTGTCCAAGAGAAGCATGGCTTTGCCTTGAGTTCTCAGGGCCTCAGGGTCTTCCGTTTGCACGAGGCCTTTCGTGACGCTGTGTCATCGACAAAGCAGAAGAAGGACAGCAGTGCATAGCAATGTCGTCAGCGAGAAAATGGGGAACTGGTCGGAATGATCACGTGACAACATGGAGCCCTGAACTTCATTGAGTAGTTGTGCTTGGAAAATCCTTAGGCGGGGCCATGTTTCACTCCTGGCGGACTGGTTCTCAAATGCGCGCACACCATGCAGAGGCCTTCGAGCCAAAGGTCCCCGCCAAGAGATGCTATCTCAGGTATTGCACTCACTTGCAGAGGGCGGCTTGGTGGAGGGGTCTGCTCTTCTTGAAGAAAGAGAGAGATTCGTCGCAGGCTTGCAAACTCAGAAACGTGCAACGGGCTTCATAGTTTCTGCCTTTCCCGGGGACCCAAATGCCAACCACTCCATAAAAGGCAGGGTGGGCCAATTGGCCAATCGCCTTAAGCCAGTGTCTTTGTCTAAGAGGGATGCTCGACCGAGCGATCAGCTTGTGATGCGTTACTTCGCTGTGTTGGTGAGTGATGCACTGTGCTTCTCAAGTCTTCAAGTTCGAGGCCTGATCCCTTCTTCTTTACAGTCTGACCCCTAGGGGGGTCGGCGACTGCTGAACCATCTTCTACTTCTTCAACACCCATCCTGATAGAGGATTTCCGTACAATGCAGAGTTCAAATTCTCATCTAATGCTCCACCGTGCAGTCCCTGGTTCAATCCCGCACAGAGATCGCAAGGACAAAGAAAACAGTTTTTACTCGGCCGTGTTTCCGGTCAGAGGCCTGTCAACATAGTGTGCATGTTTTTTGGGCTTTGACTTGCCTCTCGACATGCATCTACTCTTTTGTTAGAAGCCCATTTTGTAATATGAAGTCGGGAGGCTTGTTGAATTTTTCAGAAACAAAGAGCCAACGAAAAAAGCAAACAACGACAGAAAGAACCAAACGAAGAAAGACATCAAGAATCAAGAAAGACAGACAGACCGAGTAGATTTGGGTGTTGCTGTTCGTCCGTAGCCCATTGAGAGCGGTCCCGGCTCACCAGTCCAGATTCAGAAGCACCTCGAAAGAAAGATGGAACGAGCGAGTGCGACAGTACGAGCACGTTTCGATCTGGGAGGAAGAGGCTGTCCCGGCGATGCCTGGACCAAAGCGTCCAACATCTTCCGACCTGCTTGAGGTGCAGGGAGGATGAGCTTTCCGGCTTGATAAGAGGTGCTGACTTTGAATCGCTGCTTGGTACCAGGTGACCTCAGCGTTGCTGCGCAGCTTCTTTGGCCACAGATCGGATGGCCGTGCCTCTGGGCACGAAAAGTCAGGACACATTACGGTCGCAAGTGTCTTAGACATCATAGTGCTGAGGCAATTTTTCTCTGGGAGCACCCCGTCCTCTTCGATCATTGCATTGGCAAGATGAGCCTGACGCTACCAGCACTAGAGGTCGAGGGGCATCTGTTTGGGTTCAATTCCTCAATTTGTAGTCCGGATCCTGGATTGCAGGAGCTCTGGGACTCTATTGGTGAGGTCTTGCTGCAGGTGGCTCCCAGCGAGAAGCTTTGGAGCTGGCAGCTTGGGATGGCCTCAGAGCATAATGACAAGATCGCTTGTTGAGTTGTTGTGTTCCTCCGAGGCTTTTCAACGCCTGATGAGCAAGTAACTACCCGAGAAGTCCAACAACTGGCCTAGTGCTTACCAGTCCTAGCCAGCTTCCAGCGCCCAAAGTGATTTCATGGGTCTGGTGCATCCTGCATAAGATTATTAAGGCTCAGTTGGGACGAATTTTGCAAGAATTGCCTATGATCCTCCAAGACTGCGGGCTGTTGGGGCCCAAGATTGCAGACATCATCGAAGGCAGTGGCAGGTTTGACAGCATGGTAAGACTGCCCAAGGCAAGGTAACGCCCAGAAAATGTTCCTGCAGTCGGTCACTGTTTTCCGGTCACCGCCAGCCAGCAGCCCAGTTGCTGTCCAAGGACAAACTGCATCTCGCAGTCTTTGGGTGTAGAGAAGCCAACTGACTCTATATACGGGAAAGTTGCAAAACCTGTTCCAGAAGCTCAGACGTGCTTCAGCAACCTGTATGTACATTAGGAGACCAGCAGCAAGCAAGTCCAGGAACGCTACGATCACGGCACTGAGGGCAGGATTGACGGCAATACATGAGCGATGCCACATGCCGCTTTGCTTCCCTCATTGCCGCTTCTCAACAAGACCTGACCAAGGACAAGATCCTGAATGCCGCAGCTTCTTCCCTCTTCGTACTGGAGCAGCATTGGACAGCAAGCGCGTGGCAGGCTGTTCACAGCTGGCACAGTTCAGACAGAGAGTGGCGGTAACTGTGCTGTGTAGCAACTACGGATGCTGTTGTTGTGTTGTAGGCCCGTGACGCAAATTGTTTTCAGATTCGGTTTCCCCCCCTCCCCATTTCCCCGCCCGTTGTCCTCCTCATACCCTTGCTTCTGATGATACTCGGACTTCGACAACTATTGCGATAAACAAAAAGTAAGAAGCATGCCGGTAATTACCTCCACATGAGGGTTGTTCTAAGGTCCGTGCCAACGGTTTATGCAAAACCGGACATGTGACCAGGTTTTGCGGTATTTTAGAGGGTCAGCGAAAGATCCGATTAAGCACGGCGAAAGGAACATCCACATGCGACAGCGCACTGCAAGGTTCAAACATGTCCTGCCCTAGCATCTTCAATCCACTGAGCCCCATACCAGCACGCGAGCCGCTCTTCCAAGCCTCTTGAACCATGTAAGCCCTTAAGCTTTTCACTTTCTCATCTGTGCCCGGGACACTTTTTGAGCCGTGAACCTGAAACCTTACCGTCGTCGTAGTGAGTGAGTAAACTCGCAGTCCCGCGTGGGCCACGCCACCTCTGCGAGTGTGACGCTCTGTGTTTGGTACCAGCGTGCTATATCGGACCTTGGATCCTGAGTCAAACATGCGAGTTCCCGCACCGTCTCCACTGTACCTCACAGATTTTTTTGATAGCATGTACAAGCATGACAGGACATTACTTGGCTCTACGGTACAGTACAATACAGGACAAGACAGTACAATACAGGACAATACAGTGCCATACAGCACACTATGGTACACTACACTACAGCACAATACAATACAGCATAATACAGTACAGTACAATACAATATACAACGTCATTTACATGTACACATAAACGTGCAGGTACATGCATGCACAATCACATACATACATACAGACATATATACATACATACATGAATACTTGTGTATGCGTGTGTATGTACGGATGTATGTATGCATGTATGTATGCATGTGTATATATGCGTATATATATATATATATATATATGTATGTATGCATATGTAGGTATGTGTGTATGTATGTATGTATGTATGTAAATATGTAAATATGTATATATGTATATATGTATAAATGTACATATGCATATATGTGTATATGTGCATATGTGCATATGTGCATATGTGCATACATGTATATGTATATATGTATATATGTCTATATGTCTATATGTCTATACGTCTATACGTATTTTTGCATATATGTGTATATGTATTTATGTATATATGTATATATGTACATATGTACATATGTATATATGTATATATGTATATGTGTATATATGAATATATGTATACATGTATACATGTATACATGTATACATGTATATATGTACATATGTATTTATGTGTTTGTGTATATGTATATTTATGCGTATATGTATATGTATATTATATGTATATGTATATTTATATGTATATGTATATGTATATGTACATGTATATTTATATGTGTATATGTGTAAGGTGTATATGTGCATATCTGCATATGTGTATACATGTATATGTATATATATATATATATATATATATATATATATATGTAAATGTATGTATATGTGTTGATATGTGTATGTGTGTATGTACATATGTATGAATGTGTATGTGTGTATGTGTATATGTGATATGTGTATGTATCTATATATATATATACATATGTCTACGTGCATATGTGTATATGTGTACATGTGTACATGTATACATGTCTATGGCTATGGCCATGTCTTGTTTATGTGTAATGTGTCTGTGTATGTATATGTGTATGTGTATATGTATGTATGTATGTATGTGTACATGTGTATGTATCGGTATACGACGTGCATACGCATTTATGTGCATATACATATATGCTTACATGCACATACATATACACATGTGTGTACATATGCGTACACACATGTGTGCCTATGTGTGTATATACACATATATATATATATACACATATATACACACACATACATATATATATATATATACACATACACATCTACACACATATATATATATATATATATATAGACATATGAATGTATGTATGCATATATGCGCACACAAACATGTACATGGCATCGACTCTGCAAGGATCCCATCGTTCTTCCCTTGTCGTTTGTCTTTGTGCGCTGCATCTGGAGCTTTTTTTCGTTGGTCGCGACGTTCAGGATGTCGCCACAGCGAGTGCCCCGCTCCTTCTTGCTGCGGGCCGCTGTTTTGGTTTCTCCTGCAGACTGATGCTTTACCGGAGCTTCGGAGATCGGTTTTTGAAACAATGCAAATTTCAAACGAAGCCAGACATGTTCCAAATCGTTTTGCGCTCGGCGAAACACTTGAATTGCTGCTGGAGACACAGAAGACGGCCAACCTTGTTGGAGCAATAGCTCTCAGCTTTCGGAGCAAGAAAGCAATCCTCTGGCAGGAAGCTGGGTCGAAGCTGGGCCTGCTGATGCAGGATATGCTTCTGGACACGTTTCCAGAAACGGTGCATTTTGATGGCAGGCCCCTGCTTTTCTCTGCCGGCGATCAGAAGCAAAGCTGATTTGTGTGCACCATGATGGAGGTTGCGACCGCTGACAGCACAGTCTCCCAATGCAGGCTCGGGAGGCTTTTGATGCTGAGCGCCGCGTTTTGCGCAATGGCCAGGAGCAACCACTCACGTGATTTTTCTCTGTCTTGTTGCCGGCTTGGCGGTACCAGTCACAGGCAGAAACTGCCGGCTGAAATCGGTGCAAGTGGTTGAGCTGCGTTAGTCCCAGATGTCCTGGCACAGGCTTGGCGGCCGCCAGGGGTTGGAATGTGCCACGTATTGTTCGTTGCGGCCTCGAGTTTAAAAATAGCCTTCTTTGCGTAAGTCTGCTGTGTTAAAGTCAGCTTGTGCTGCGTTGCTGCATTGCTGCATGGCAGCGGATTGGATGCCATTGAATCATTCAGGTGCCATGTTCGAGATTCGGCAGGCAGAGTGCAACTCTTCGTGATGCAGATGCTGACGGGTTACTGCTGCTTGCCAGTCGCATGAAAGGTTCGCTGCGACACCTGCGAGGAGGGTCGCAGAGGGCAGGCTGTAGAGGAAATCCAGATCGAGGTGAACCGCATCAGGAGATTGGAAATGAGCCCCACCCTCAGCAACTAGCCATGTTATGTGCTTGGTGGTTGTAGACAAGCCTGTATCAAAGGTGGTCTTCTAGAGGAAGAGGAAACCGTGGAGGATTTTCATGAATCCTTTGCTGATCCGCGCCGCGCCTAGCCGCTTAATTCAATTCGTCCCCATGTACTCGAGAAGAACAACTTCCCGTACACAGACTGTCAAAGTACAGGCACAGGGAACGCCTGACAACCGGCGTCGCAGAGACGATGCGAAAACACCGTGCGACAGAGCAGACTGCAGACGGATGCTTTGCTTGGTTTGCATTGCTTGGCGACTTTTCGAGGGGTTCGAGGGATTACGCAGGCGGCTGAGGAGACCATCCATCGCACAGACTTGATCGCACAAGGCTTCCAGGACCTAACAAGCGCCGCACTTTTCATGCCGCTCCTCTCTCGAGAGAGGACCGGGAGCTGCGCTACCGAGGGAACATCGCCGCTGCACGCGCCGAAAGCCCAGCTACCTTGAAGCACGGCTGAACTGAAGAGCGGATCGTAGCTTCGCAACAGCCGATCAGGATCGACTGCTGGACCACACGCAGGAGTACAGCAAGCTGCAAGCGGGCTTGCGAAGGTGTGAGCAGGATCCATGTAGACTCGAAGCAAGAAGCTTCTGGCACTGCATGCGCACTGCAGATCAATGGAAGACCTTGCACTCTTACGGGATGATCTGGAAGTTGCTCGTGGCTCAGACTGATGTGCGAAAAGACTGCTGAAGAGTGTCCGTGCCCATCGTGTCAGGTAAGAAACGATTTCGAGAGATTCCAGCGAAATAGTGAGGCCCTTTGCTGCATGCAATGACCTGGTGCAGGTACTTTATAGGGTCTGCGTGGTAGAGCATGTTCAACAACAGGTTACATGCCTCAAGTGGAGTTTGGAGTCTTTGTCCCAATCTATAGGGTGCACTACTCTACTCCGAGGCCGCCTTATCTACGGGAAAGCGCTTCCTTCTAGAGGTCAAGGAAATCGGAGCGAATTCCCTGATCCGGCTCTGATAGCATCCGCGTCTGCATGTTCCATCTCAAAAACACCATTGCTGCAGCGAAGGTCGCGATGGCGCATGAATGCCTTGGCACGATGTTTGCCGACTGCTTGCACTACCAGGTCGATCAGATTGGTGGTGACCCGAACATGGCACTGTACGGAGCCACGGGATGCAAGCAGGAGAGCATGGACATTCGTGGTGGCATGTGCCAAGCCTCCTCGACTACTTCCTCGAAGCATGGTCTGAGTCACCGTGGTGCCCTCATCTTTGCGCTCCAAGGGCACAGCATGTCTCCGCCAACAGTTTGCGTTTCTTCAAGCAATATGAGGACCAACTGGGAGGCAGGCCGCACCGTGAGTGTAGCCAGCCCGTCTGGAGCACCTTTCCAGGTCTGGATCTTTTGATGGCTGCCGTTTTGGAGTGGGGGCGCAATATGGCAATATGTCTGACGAAACACGGGCCGAATTCCCTTCGAACCAGTCGGAGTACAAGATCAATGTCTCGGATTGGCTCCTCAACTCTACAAGCTCATCATACCTTTTGGGCGACAGAGATTTCGACGCTCATACTCCTCTCCTGATCGAGGTCCACGCGAACCACTCATTACTCCGAGGTGTCCGAGCAGTCTGAAAGGAATAGGAGCCTCTACTGTAGTGTAGAGCCTCGAAAGAGCATGGCTCGACGAGCTGGGCAGAGACCCCAGACAAACAGAGCCCCTAGAAGGTGCTGACAAAACAGAGGCCATCACGGAAGTGACCCTAGTGGAACGGCTTCTGGAACCGTGCTCATCCTCAGAAAAAGGTTAAGCTTCGGAGGCCCACCGTCCGGAGCCGCTGACTATGCAGATGATAGAGGAGAGCAGCCTTGGC